AAGAAAAAGATGAAACCTCTCGCTGACCAGAAGACTATTGCATCTGTATGTTCTGCTCCATGTGCCTCTGCACCCTCCCTGACTTTGATCCGCCTCCCGACAGTTCTGCTTAGTATTAAAATATAAACACGCACACTTAAGCCTAGTTTATGCTTCTGCGTTTCAGTTTGTTATCTGTTTAAGTTTAGACTTCTGGAGAAAGACAAACTTCCTTTTACCTTTTTAAACTCTGTTAAAATGCTCATCCTATAAATGTAGTGTTTTTCAAGATGAATGTTATCACTCTTCTTCCAGCAGATGGAGCTGTGCTGTTTCTCCTCTTCAGAGTCCAGAAGTCAGTAAAACACAGACCAGTAAGGTGACCTGTAGCTGTCCTGATGGAAACACTGTGGTTACCATGGTAACATGGGGAAGCTTTCTCCTGATGGGATGCTTCACTTCACCATGTGATCAGTTAGTAAAAGGTCGACTACAACCTGCTGATCAATGAGAGAAAAACTGAAGACTAAAGAAAACAAACACAGTCAAACACTAAAAAGTGACTAAATGTGTTTAAAGCAGATGAAGAAATGAACATGAAGCTTTGTGGACTTAAAGGACTGAAGCAGCAGGTGAGACAAACAGAGCGTCTCTCAGGTGTGTTTCAGGAACAAAGGCCCAGGTGAGCTCTGTGGTCCCTGCTGGGTCCTAGTGCCCCTCTGTCTGCTACCTTCCCCTCCTCATCAGTAACAGTCCTCACAGACCCCAGATCAGACTGAGCTCCTCTTCTTCATCACAGCTTCATCATTCAGACTAACAGCAGCTTCTCTCTGCCTGCTCACACAGGCGCCATCTTGTTTCCCAGCTTTAAACAATCACACCTTCACGACCATCAATGATGTCATTCGACCAATCACAGCTGCACTTACTGAGCTTGTAGACATGAACTTCCTCAGTGAGCAGCTCTCTTCTGTCCTCAGCAGGTCCGTGTAGAAAAGGAGCTCCGTGCTTCACTTCAGCTTCCATCAGACGGAGTGAAGTGACGCAGCTTGCTGTCTTTCATCAGAGAGGGTGTGTCCTCACGTCCTCACGCGGTGGTGTTGATGATCAGGTTGAACCTGTTGGGGCGGAACAACTTCCCCACGTATCAGTCTGAAGCCGCCTGCCAAATCACAAAGGACATGTTGTTACATGCAGTGTTCTACTTCCTCATCACATGGCACCTTGAACCCTCTGGCTCATATACCTGCTGTGCAAAGGATTGTGGGTAAGAACAGCCAGTAAAGCAGCCTGCTTGCACACAGTAAGATGTGACTGAATGTAGAAGACAAACTGTAATTCCTCCAGCTTCTGTCATTGATCATCATGAAAACCAGATGCTGAAGACGGTCGATGGACAGTTTATTAGTTGAGTGACAGTTAGTCATCAGTTTCATCTGTTTTTACTTCTTACTGTGGGTCAAAAAAACAACGTCTGCAGACCTCTGCATCGGAAATACAAGATCTAATGAAAGTACTGCAAAGCTCTTCAGACGGTCCTCTGACCTGTAGAAGTCTCCTTAGATCTTCTGAAACTAGACGTTGGACCTTTCACAGAGCTGCTGGCAGTGACGTGCGGTGAGGTTGGTGGCTGGAGGCTCTGACTCTTTCAAAGTCACATTCACAAACATATGAATTCAACAAAGTAGCATAAATTCACCATCTGCTTGCACTTGGACTACTGGTTATGTTTCATGTCCCGTATCGTATATTCTTTTATAATACGGGTGAAATCAAGCGCTCTGATTGGTGGAGAGTGAGTCACGAGGTGCACTGAATTGAGCCATAATGTGATGTTACCTGTCTCAAGCGATTTAGGGCACTTTTTAGCCAAAGAGGAACATTCAGGTGGACGTCATGAGCCAAGTGAATGAATGAGACGGTGCGACATCGAGCAGGGAGACCTGCCATGTTTTCACACCACAAATCAATGTGAAATCCCTCACTGACATCACCAATCCATATTCACTTAATGTTACAATACAACCAATGATCATGTTCTTCATCTGGTTCTTCTGTTCAAGAGCTTAGTGAGGCTCATAAGAACCACGTCCATCTTTGAAGTCAGTCGACCTTTAGACCGATCACTCTTCATGGACACACAGCTGGGTCCAGGTCCAGGTCCTGGTCTCTGATGGATCCTGGTCACACATGTAGAAGCAGAGTCAGTGAGTCAGAGACGTTGGGACATGGAGACGAGTGGAGGACAGTAGGAGATGGTCCTCTCACCTCTATCCTTTGGTCTGGCTGTCATGTTCCCCACACAGAGCGGCTTCAGAGGGAGGGACTCCGTCCTCTGGGTCCTCAGCCTGATTTATAGCAGAGTCCACACCTTCACACCTTCATTACATCACATGTCAATTAGCTGACGCTAATAAGCGGCTTTACAACTTGCTGTAGATAAGAACCATTATAAGTCCAATGTAAGTGCTACAGTTAGTTAGTGTGTTAGTGGAGGTAGAGTCTGAAGAGGTGTGTCTTTAGTCTGAAGATGTGAAGGCTCTCTGTGGTCCTGATGTCTTTAGAGACCTCCTTCCACCATTTAGGAGCAGGACAGCAAAGAGTGGAGATCTAGTCGAGTGTTTTGCTCTCAGTGAGGAGGAACAAGCAGTTTATCACATGCAGAGCGGAGAGTGCGGGTCGGGGTGTCGGGTTGGACCAGGTCCTGGATGTAAGCTGGACCCCATCCATTCACAGCACGGTACGTGAGCACCATGTTTAGAGGACTTAGGAAGGTTAAAGAGCAGTGGAGCTGCTGCATTGTGGATGAGCTGCAGAGGTGGAATGGTGGTAGCAGGAGACCTGCAGGAGAGAGTTACAGTAGTCAGACTGACGACGCTTCATGAATTAGACCAATGGATAAAATGCATTTAGTGTCCACCAGGATACAGCCCTGATTCTGACACTATGTGATCAATAAAGACATGAGAATAGTGGGACACCGCTGTCATGTTGACACTAATCAATAGAATAACACCAATGCACAGCTATGATTGTGTTCAATTCAATGATGAAAACCCCAGTGACATTGAACGCACCATCCAGTGTGATACCTCATTGCACCACGATGCTCCTCTTAATGTAGTGATGAAGTGGTGATCCAGAGGTTCTACAGAGGTCTTCACCTCCTTCAGAAACTCATTTATTACATGTAGTAATAAAAACATCTGATCTTTTTATGGAGGTAAAAAGACGAAGAGAAGCAGAGTTGTTGTTTGACACTAAACTCAAATCTCACTTTTAAACCTTCAAACGAGCTCAGAGAGGATTTCCTCCTCCGGTTCCCCAGAGTCTCTGTTATAGATGAAGTGTGCTGATGTCCTCCTGTCTGGAAATGAGTAGAATAAGTATGGTGGCTTGATGGGGGATGGGCCAAAATATTCACATAATTAGTCACATGTGTTATCAGAAACAAACAAATGTCTGTGACCTTTTAATGCAAAGGGGATGTTGGGCCTCCACCCTGCTAATGAACCTCACCACGTGTTTCTTCACTGAGGACAAAGGAAGGACACAAACATATAGGGGTCCCCCGTGGCCTGATGCCAGGGGCTGATAACAGGACCCCTGCAGCTCTCCAGACCCCCTTGCCCATAAAAAGAGGACGTACGAAAGAACACCGAGCGCTCCCATTGGCCGAGGACAGTGACATTTATTTATGGACCTCAAGTTCATAAGAAGAGATTGCGCCAAAGGATCGATCTCTTTCGCCTGACTTCCCGTTAGTGACAGATCGAGACAACACAACGTTGTTTGGTTTCTTTTCTTTCCCTCCAATTCCCAAGTTTCAGTCTTAATCTCGCTGGACGAACTCAAGACTCGCGCTCCACTACGTCCCGCTTCCTTTTCCCTTTTGATTTCATTCCTGTTGACTCCAGAGGACCGGAGAGACAGCTGCTCTCTGACCCCCCGCCGCCTCTGTTCCCAACGACAAGTTCGGACCCCACGGCCGAAATCGCCTTCATCCACTGAGTTTCCCTACGCGGAGCTCAACTGTCCTCAGTCAGCTGGAAGCTGATGACCAACGCCCATCAAACAGTAACACTGGTTTTCTGGGCAGACTAATTTAGCGTGTTGATATGAACTTGATGTTTATTTGATTTGTTCAGTCATAACGTGGTACGATAGAGTCCGGATCAACGAATCCGCTACCTTTGATTTATGTTTGAATGTGTACCTGCAAATGTCGTAATGTCCCCTGTTGATCTGATGCTGTGATACGTTTGCTGTAAGAGAGTGAAAGCGCCGACTGTGTTACGCTGTTGAATGATGTCTCATGGTCAGAATAGTTCCTTATTTTCTTTTCTTTTCCCGGGTCTCCGCCGTGAGATCCGTTTGCCTGTGGTTTCATTTCGTATCGCCAGCCACATCGTTGGTTCTGTAACTGCACAACTGTTGTTACGCGCAACCCCACCGCCGTTCCTTCCCAGCACCCCCCTCGTCTCTCCCTTACACACCCCTCTGTGCTCACACACACACACACACACACACACACACACACACACACACTCTGGTTTTGACTGCTTGTTTAGTGAGTAGGTTTAAAATAAGTGTTATGGGGATTGTTGGTTGCAGTTATAGGTGATCTTGATCGGTGTTCCTGTGAGTTAATAAACCCTGTTATACTTTAAAGAACCGTTTTCCTGTGTTTACTTGTGCATTTATATGATGGTGACCGTTGACATACATCGCCAGTGCTCGAACTTAACTCCTTCCAACATCTTCACTCTCAAGGAGTGAATATCAACTAGAAAAAGCATTTCCTGCTGAAAATGCGTTGGAATGCAAAAAGCTGAAAGCTGCACTGAATATTTAAAAATAGCTGAAAATACAGAAAGTTGAAGGGAATTTGAATACATTTGCTGAAATGACAGATATTTGAAAAGCTGAAATTAATTTGAAATTGCTGAAAATACAGAAAGGGGAGAAGCTGAAAGGAATTTCAATAGATTTGCTGAAAAATCAGAAATGAAAACAGCTGAAATAAATGTGAAATCTTGCAAAAAATAGCTAAAATTAATTTACAAAACGGCTGAAAATACAGAAATCCGAAATCGTACCAACAAGCCGAAAAACTGAAATGAATTTAAAAAATGCTCATGATATAGAAATGACAATGAACCGGCAGGCTCAAAGATGAAATTAAGTTCAATTTCTGAAAATATTGAAATTTCCAATGGCTTTGCTGAATAAGTGTTAATGCCAAAAAGTGAAGACCAGCACAGCAGGATAACATGATATTTTAATTTCAAAATTGGCAGTGTGGAAGATGAAGTGCAGCATTTAACAAAGCTAAGAGTTGAAATACAACACAAAAGAAGATCCCGTCTTTACATCATTTTTTGACTCATTATCTTCTATCAAAATATAATGAAATAATATAGATGAGTACAGTGCACAAGTACTGTTGTATTGGTCATAATTATTTTGAGTATTTTGTGAAAGATAAAATCTTAGAGTGAGAAATGTATCAACACAGTTTTGTGAACATTGGTCTCTGTGTTATTCATGAATAGATTTACTATAGTTTCAATAGTTAACAATATGGTTCATTTCCTACAATCAAAGGTTTTTCACATCGTTTCCAGACTTAGGTTAATACTCAGTTCAAGACTTCAAGGTCCAGGAGCCCTGGACAGATAAGTCTTGACAACATTGTCGTTTAGACTATCCCAGCGTTAAGCTCAGTTTACTGAGGCTCACAGACACACTGGGTTCTCCTTATTTTGATGGAACATGGGTTAGAGTCACTTGTTGACTCAAGGTTAGGACCCAAGCTTTGTAGGATTTGTTTTCCTATTAAATCTTTTAGAGTTTAGGTTATCCTAAGGATCGGTGTACACATGTGAAAAACCTTGAATATACCTACCAGCTGAAACCCCATACTAATGACTCATTGTGATACAAATATGTCATTTCTTCAAGGTTAATTTGTTCATATGCACGAGGCAATCAAACAAACATTTTCATCCTTAATTTTCTCATAAATCTGACTGAAAAGGGACGGATGACAAATAAAAAAATAATAAATAAATAAATACAATCAACAAAAAAAATGCGATGAAACACAAGGAAAACGTATATTGTTAGATCAAATACGGTAGAGATGAAACAAACAAAATAGACAGGTGTCCTGTAGTAATACTGTTCATGAGTTAGTAGTGTATGCTTTGAAGACCTGTAACATTATGACCTTTGACCTGTGCAGCGGCTGTAGATCCACTGCTCCAGTCATCACGTCAGGATAGTGTTACTATAGCTACATGGAGGAGGAGAGGCCTTAAAGACAGAAACAGGAGAAAATGTATTCATGTTGTTAAAAATGTAAACAGCACATGCAAGTAGTAAGACTACCAGGGGATTGTTTTGTTGTGGTCAGAGATATATTTTTAAAAAGATCTAATCCCAGTTGTTACCTTTACAGCTGGTTTAGGGAGGAGCTTGAAGCTGCATAAAGGTGGGGCTGTCACTCGGACAGTGATGACTGACTGATGACTCTTCCTTGCAGTCACACACCTGATCCTGACAAAAATAAAACAGGAAGTTATTGTTAGAAACTCAACTTTCTAAAAAGGTTTATAATTCACAGTAATGAAATACCTTGAACTCTGAGAGCAGTGCAGAGCAGATCAACATGTAGTCCAGTGAAACTGAATACGCTGCATGATGTTCAGCTTCTTTTGTGTTCAGCGCTCTCTGCAGTCCTGAGTGTCTTCACTGTGAAGTGGAGGAATCACAGAGGAGGAAGACCTGAAGGAATAAGTGGATATAAAATTAGAACGTTATATTGAATGTACAATTAGTGTTATTAAGAATATTGCATTCATATAAAATGAATACGTGAATGATAACAAAATTAAAACAAAACATTAGAAATCACATATGAAATAAGAAAACAATACCTTATTATCTTTTGTGAAGAAACCTCAACACTGGCAGGGAGAACACGTCTCTCTGTGGTCCAGCAAGTGTCCACTGATGATGAACAGTTAACACGGTGCTTCAACATCTGCTCTGCTGCTGCAGTGGTGGCAGGATGTCCTGGTCGGTATGAGCTGATCCCGAATCTCAGAGCCAGACAGGAAGTGAGGCAAAGACAGGCAGGTGTTTTCTCGTCCTTTGCTTTGAAGAATGACGGGGACAGGCAGGAAGTCAAATGTATCAGGGTCGTCGAGATCCAAACCTGGATCTCGGTGTAGCAGGCAGATTGTCTACCACTGTGCTCTAGGTGGGGGTGACTCAGGTGCAGAGACAGACACGGACAAGTTGTATGTCGAGTCACAAAAAGGTTTCTTTACTTGCAAAAAGTAGTTCCAGATCATAGACAAAACTCAAAACATTCCAAGACAACTAAAAACAAAGGCAGAGCATTTAACAGGAAACTAAGGGTGACCAAAGAACAGGCAACAGAAGATCTTTAACCACAAAAGGGTATTAACAGAGAAGCGTTACCAAGTGTCTCACACAGCTCAGCTCAGGGTGGTAAGATCCAAGACTCGGCAAACACAGAGAAACACAGTTGGCTTTTCAAAAGGCTAGAGAACGAGGCACAGGTGAACGCAATGAGAATAATCATCACCACACAGACTCATGACAGGTGCCATACATAAAACTGGATCACTGAGGACCCCACATGGTCCTTCAGGGTACTTCAGTCCAAAAACCCTGACACAAATGTGTCCCTATGGGGTCTAACTGTGATGGGTCCTCGGTTGATTGACAGTTCAGTTGGTGCTGCAGTCTCTGTCATGTCTTAGATGCTGTGAGCTGATCCTCACAGTGCAGAAGGAGGTGAGGCCAAGACTGGAAGGTGTCTTTACAGAGGAAAAGGGAGGACTGTGTCTCCTGTCCATCAGAAAGGAAACTTAACACTACAAAGACACATGAAAACTTTGTCTCTTGTCCATCGGAAAGGAAACGTAACACTATAGAGGACACAGGAGGACTGTGTCTTCTGTCCATTACAAAGGAAACTTAACACTACACAGGAAACATGACAATTGTGTCTGCTTTCAATACAAAGGAAACTTAACACTACATAGGGAACATTACAATTGTGTCTGCTTTCAATACAAAGGAAACTTAACACTACATAGGGAACATTACAATTGTGTCTGCTTTCAATACAAAGGAAACTTAACACTACATAGGGAACATTACAATTGTGTCTGCTTTCAATACAAAGGAAACTTAACACTACATAGGAAACATGACAATTGTGACTGCTTTCAATACAAAGGAAACGTAACACTACAGAAAACACAGGGTAATTAAAATAAAATTAATGGGGATGGAAGTGTGGGGTTTCAGCTGGTAGGTGCATCAGAAAGTATGTGTTACATCTAGAACACATACTTTCTGATGTGCGTCTGCTAAACTAAATGTCAGCAGCTGTGTACAATGAATTTTACATTGTACACAGCTGCTGAAAGAGTTTTGGCCTGTGCATTTATCAACCCTGACCCAAACCCACCCTGATAAATGCACAGGCCAGAATGTGTTAGAAATATTGCTAAAATTAACATGGTTACCTGGAAAATTATATGACCCATAATATTATCCAATATTGTGAACACTTAAAATTAGCCCATTCCACAATCTTATTACAGTGCAACAACTAGTTTGACCAGATGATTCAGTTTTCTTTACATTGAAGATTACATAATCCCAGACTAATTACAATGTGGTATTGTTTAAAAAAATTATATGATTCTCAGTAGATTTTGATCTTAGCTGACAATTTTAAGACCTGTTGGAGGAATGTAGACAGAAAACATGATTGTGACAAGTGACATGTTTTTTACTGTACCAGAGTGGAGGCCCTGCTGTGGTGGAAATATGGAAACGGCTGTATGGCGGATCCCCCTCCTCTGTATAATCATGCATTAAATCAATGTATATACAAGTACATTGCATTTTTCTTTAAAACTCACCTGATACCTTTATGGACTGTTAGATGACATGACACAGTAAACAGGGTTGTGATAACTGTAATAAGTTCTCATCACACCAGAGTGGAGACAGCGTTGTGGTTGAGAGATGAAAATGAGGTCCAGCAGTGTGTTCTTGTCAGTGGTTGCAGCAGTGATGACTTGTGCAAATCCTCTGGACTGGAAGAGCTCAAGGATTGGCTTACCAGTGTTGGAGAAGAGATTCTCGTTGAAATCACCACAGACAATGATGGGCTGACAGTCCATGATCTCCAATGAGTCCAGCAGGCTCCCCAGGTTGGACAGGAATGATCTCACACTGTAGTCTGGAGGTCTGTACACAGCTGCAATCAGGGCTCTCACTGGGGCTTCTACCTTCAGAGCCACAAACTCAAGATCGGTCACATTATGTACGTACTGTTTCTCACGCACCTGAATGTGGCTTTTCACATAAACAGCAACTCCACCACCACCTCTGTTGGCTATTTGTGGAACATTTGTGTAGGACAGGTGTCTGTTGCGTTTGAACATGTTGTAGCCCTCTAAATGGAGACTCTCTGCAACAAAGGAGCCTTGAAGGTGAGTTTCTGTGAGACACAAAACATCTGCAAGACACAGTTCATGATGGCTCCTGATGTCAATGATGTGCGATGGCAAACCTTCAGTGTTATGGTGAACAATGGTCAGAGTGTCGTGTCTGCTCGAGGCCTCTTTGATACGAAGAAGAGGCATCATGTCGTCCAAGTTGACTTGTCTCATGGTCTCGAGGGCTCCAGTGATTTCTGGGTTGGCATAGATTTTACTCTCATCCAGATCCAGCATGTGCAATCCACTGAGAGAGGTCACTCTACTGATGGCTACGTAAGCCATGCCAGGTTCAAAAATGTGTTTCAGTGACACTACAGCTGATGTCCTGGTCATACCCTGAACCTTGTGTATCGTGCAGGCAAAGGCAAGTCTAACAGGAAACTGTCTGCGTACAACTCCTTTCTGTTTCAGATTGTCCTCTGCTCGCTCTATGTACACCACATCATCAGGGCCGCCCGGTGCTCTATTACGGTAATTCCTTCCAGCAGTTTGATCATCCATCTTGAGCCCGAGCATAGTGACATGTGCAACACCACTCTGTTCTGCGGTTATTACCCTGACTAGTGTAGCAAACGATCCATTCACCAATCCCTGAGACACGTCTATGTTCCTGGTGAGCATGACTCGAGCACCTTCAGCTACGTTTAGTGTGTCTGGTAACTCATTTCTGTTTCCTTTGTATGGTTGGGCTTGTCGAGCCATTCTTCCAGTTCGTGGGTCCTTCTTGTAGTCATCTGCATCGATGTTGGTGATATTAGAATGGAGCAGAGCTAATGTTACTGAGTTGTGTGAATCAACCTGTTTATTAGTCGCAAAGATGTGCAGGACATCAGGTGGACAAAGTGATGGTTCAGTGATGGTCTGTGACAACAAGGCTCTGTCTGCTTGAGACAACTCATCTGACTTTCCTTTCACACGGATCCGGTTCAACATCTCTGCAAAGGCAACATCATCCTTCTGCCGCATAATCTCAGTCAGGGTGATTGTCTGAAAGTGTTCCTGCCATAGGTCAATCTCACATGGCTCGTACACACAGAGGGTCTTGGACTGTCGCACTGGTGGTAGCTGATAAAAGTCTCCCACAGCTATTACTGACATTCCTCCAAAGGGTTTGGTACTACCTTTGATCTGTTTCAGTCTTGCATCCACATAAGCAAACAGGGGCTTTGACACCATAGACACTTCATCAATGATGAGGATTTCAGCATTTAAAAGTTCTGATCGGACTTCATCCAGTTGGTTACCAAGTCCTTGAAATGGAGGTTTCAGACTTCGTGGAAGCTTGAGCAGAGAGTGCAGTGTTGATCCTGATATATTGAAGGCTGCAGTTCCAGTGAAAGCTGTCAACAGGACCGTGGGGTTTGATATGTCGACCTCCTCAGAATGGCTGGGCAGTTTGCACAGTATCTTAGATGCTTCTGAGTAGATGCATTTAATGAGATGTGACTTTCCTGTTCCAGCACCACCATTGACATAAAAGAAAAACTGCTCAGGATTTAGGCCACAAACACGCTTTACGCACCAGTCTCTAACTGCATAGAACACACATGCTTGTTTCTGGTTCAGGTTCTGATACATTTGCCGTAGCACTGTGGGGTCAAAGGCCGGAGGCTCTCTGATGGCTCTGGCTTCTGTTGCAGCATTAGCTTGATTAGTGTATTCTGGAACATTTTCTTGAACATTTTCATGATCTGGCTCTCTTGCCTCGAGTTCTTCTATACATTCCAACCTTTCCACTTCAGATTCTGGAGCCAGATTGCACCATTCATCAATCACTCCTCTGTTCTGTTCAAATTCTTCCACTGCATTCTCAATGTCCTCGCTGTTTTTCTCATATTTGTCTTTGTTTCGTTTCACAATGTGACGGACATACTCAGGATGGTCAGAACCTGGTAGTTGGACACAACCACTCTTGTAGAAGGACTCGTACGTGGGGAAATGCCGTCTTTTCAGTTCCAGGTCTGATCGGTGAGGAATGTACAGTTTCAGTAATGTGCCATAGAACTTCTCTGGATATTTTTCCTGTGAGCAGCGGTAAAATCTGATGATGGCAGGCTTATTGTTTTTACGCTTTTGCACAAATCCCATGTCATTGAGGAGAGGCAACACATCTTTTCCTTTTTTCTGCTGGCCGTAGACAATTCTGCAAGTTGCTGCGAAATCTGCCAAACACATCTGCTCAAACTCTGGTGTTTCTGGTCTGGATTTGTATTTGTCAGTCAAAGACGTCATCCACACATTTACACTTTCTAATGTTGTGTTCTCCAGGTAAGACATGGGCCGACTCATTTCCAGTGCGTTGTCATCTGTTGGTACGAATATGACACCACGTGAACACTTCTTCATGTTTATTCCACATGCGCGAGTCACACACTCCTGAGCACTGACCTCTCTCTTTTTAGAGTACGCCTGCATGATTTCCCTCATTTCATCACATTCATTGACGTGGTCTTTGGTGGAGTTTTCAATGACTGTTTTGAGGTACTCAGAAAGTCCAGATTCCTTTTTGGTGATGTAGCTGGTGAGATACATGATGCATGAATATGCATTGAGAATATAACTGACATCAATATTGGCATCCCAGGCTTCCAGTAGATGTGCATTATATCCATTTACCCAGCAGTCCTTTGGCTCAC